ATTGAAGGAGCTCTGTTAAGTATTGAAGGAGCTCTGTTAAGTATAGATATTTGTAGATGCAGTGGAGGTAGTAATGTAAGTTCTCTGCTGCTTTCACTGCTTATGCAGAGAGCGTGATTTTGTACTGTAACATGCACATCTCCAGCTTTGCTGATATTTTTATACCCATCATCTCATCTGATTCACTACTTAAATATCTTTGGAAAGCCAGGAGAGAGACCCCTTAGAAATGAATGTTTTGTTCTTTTCATGCTTCACAATTCTAAACTCACCTAGTTTACCTGTTGAAAATTCTCAGTTCAGAACTCATCAAATTCTCTTTCAACACTATGCTACTATTACTGTGAAATCACTTTAAGGAAGTAATGCTAATTTAGCATTTTAGCATTTTAAAAAATACAAATATTGTCAGTAGAGCATCTAACACATATGAGTCAGTTCTGTGCTCAACTATTTTAACCATTTTGGAAATATTTTTTACTTAAAAGAGTTATGTTTAAAACAGTTTCAAAATGATCAAAGACCTATAGCATGATCACAAAACAACGATTCTGAGATGTGAGATATCATTACTGGACACCATTGAGTCAGCTTGGTGCTTTAAGAGCCGAGCAATGCCCATAAGACCTTCCTTAAGCTCCCATGGAAACGGAATAATAATCATAATAAATGTTAATCCTGTATTAAACAGTTAATACCATTTTGATTTGTTAATATTAAGATGGTAGAAATAATACACAGAATCCAATGAGAAGGTGATTATTTATGGGAGATTGATGAGCAAGAAAGTAGGATTAAAAAAAGATAATTGGATAAAGTCAAACAAGAAAGAAACCCTCAAAGAATTTGGTGGCATATGCACTATAATACTTCAGAGGGAATGGGAAAAGAATGATCATGGCATTGGCCATGATGGATGAATGGAATCAGTCACTGAAGGTCCAAACTTAGTGGCAATGTGGTTCCATTTCAGTCTCATATTTGGTAACAAGTATTGTGTGAAGTTGAACGGAAGTGGCACTAAAGAGATTGTCTGCCAGTTTCATGTCTTAGAAGCCAGAATGGGGGAGGGAGAATTTCTGGAGAGGTGCAGCAAAGTGGAAAGTGCAATGATGTGAAATGAATATACTATGTAAGCCTAACACAGGTGGGGCACATGTTGCAAGTATACTTTAGATCTGGTTTTTGTCTTGAAGCAGATAAGAGACAGTCAGGGACATTTTAATCAGTCTCCTCTCTTCCTTGTATGAAATTGATCTGTGCCAACAATCTTCCCAGGGAAGATGCACCAATTAATTGATGGATCGTCTAGTGCTCATAGATTTGGAGGAATAGTTCCATCAGATTCCTAGTCTACCTTTGAAATATTGAGGGACAAATATACCAGATAGGATTGCTTTCAATCCCAAGTGGATTTTTGGTGTATTGAAAGATGAATCAGGAAGAAGAGATGGCTATACCAATGCTGGCAGAAGATGAGTGAGAAGATGATAAGACATGGCTATAAATTCAGATTCAGTTAGGAGATGTGGACATTCTGATATGGTATTTGAAGATTGTTAGAGGATAAGTGGGGAGAAACAAGCATAGAAACAAGGTGAAGTGGCTGTTCTTTGAGAAACAAAACCAATCTTGTTTCTCAATAGGATTATGTTTCTTCACAAAGAACAGATCTGCAGTTTAGGATATCTCTGACTTATCGCTTTTTTCTAGAAGAGCAGGTGGAAAACATTCATAGGAAGGGACACAATAATGGTAGTCACATTCTTGTTGGACAATCAATTGGATAATTATAATTTATAGTACATACAGCTGACCTTGAAGGCCATTTGGAATCTTTACCTTGAGGTTAATGAAGCTGCTGTTCTCCTTATGAGTTGGACCTGTTAGTCACATTCTGCATCTCTTTCTAAATTCAAAATATAATGTCTTCTAAAATTATCCAGATTAGTATGCTCATGTGGAGTGGGCATATTATTTTTAGTGATTCCCTTTGCATGGTCAGAGTGGCTCTCTTAATATATTCTAAGGACTTTGAGGGATAAAAGGGGTCCTGAAGCCTTTGGATCCAGACTTGGTGGCTTCTATTCCCCTTGTCAGTGGCTGGCAGCCTAGTTGAGAAGGACATGGCTAAGTGTGGATGAGTATATGTGTGTGTGATAAATACATTGTAACCCAGTAAAGGTTTGCTGTTATTTTAGATTAACTGGGTCTCCATGTGTTCTAAAGAACAGGTTGTACCTCAGTGTTCACTTGAAAATGATTTGAGTGTGGCTGTTTGCAAGGGCTGTGGGTGGATGACCATAAGCCAAACCTGAGCATGCATGTAATACCTACCTATATTATGTATAGGTATGGGACGTGGTGGCTAAGACACAACTTGTCAATCAGAAAGATTGATGGTTTGAATCCTTAGTGCTTAACGCAGTGAGCTCCTGTTACTTGTCTCAGCTTCCGCCAGCGTAGCAGTTCAAAAGCTAGGAACCACCTTTGGTGGGAAGGTAACAGTGCTCTGTGCGCCTTCGGCGTTTAGTCATGCCGGCCACCTGATGACCTAGACATCTTCGGACAGCGCTGGCTCTTTGGCTTTGAAACAGAGATGATCACCGCCCCACTAGAGTCAAGAATGACTAGCACACATTTGCGGGGGAACCTTTACCTTTATATTATGTATATGTATGGGACGTGGTGGCTAAGACACAACTTGTCAATCAGAAAGATTGATGGTTTGAATCCTTAGTGCTTAACGCAGTGAGCTCCTGTTACTTGTCTCAGCTTCCGCCAGCGTAGCAGTTCAAAAGCTAGGAACCACCTTTGGTGGGAAGGTAACAGTGCTCTGTGCGCCTTCGGCGTTTAGTCATGCCGGCCACCTGATGACCTAGACATCTTCGGACAGTGCTGGCTCTTTGGCTTTGAAACAGAGATGATCACCACCCCACTAGAGTCGGGAACGACTAGCACACATTTGCGGAGGAACCTTTACCTTTATATTATGTATACACTATTTTACTGGAATT